CGGGGTCTTTGTTCTCGCGTCCTGGCCTCCGGGATTGGGTGGGGCCTACCTGGCTCTGTGCGCACTTTTCGGCTGGGAATCGTGGTTTTATGAGTCCGGCCCACACTCGGACCCAGGAGCCCTGCCGCTCCCGGAGAACTCACTGCCTTGGTGGAATCTAGTTCCTGTCTTAAGATGAATTGATTTTCCTGTTTCCTTTCTCTCTGAAAGAATGAGGTAGAATTAATATGTTTTTGAGTGCACATAAATTTCACTGCTAATGTTATTAATCAACAAAAATTTGGACTGAAATACTGCACTGTGGGCTTCCATCTGGTAATAAACATGGCAACGTAGAGATATGATTAGTATGGAAAATTTTATTTTATCTGAGGAGTGTTTTGTTAAATTTTCCTGTGACTGTATAAATTTCAAGGCATAGATTGATATGAAATTACTTATATTCTCATATGGAAAGTTTCTATATAACAGTACTAGTGGACAAAGTTCTCAAGGGTTCTCCAGACATACAACCTTTCAATTTTTCTCTTCTTGATCAGTTGTACTGAGTTGTCAATTTTTACTACCAGAATCACAGTAACTTTTATTTTCTCTGTCTTCATTTTGTAAAAATTCTTTTCAGACTGTATTCCATCTTTTATTTTCTTGTGTTCAACTTGTGGTACTGTTTTTTAGTGTGTGATGAACATTTCAAAGGAAGAATCACAGCATTTTTATTTAAATACTGAACAGCACAGAATCATATGGAATATAGAATGGAGATTTATCTCAGTGTTGTTTTAACTTTAACACACAGGATTTTTAGTCCCACATGATTTTTAATTTGTGCTTTGATCTATTCTATATTGTATGTATAACTGAGTGTTATACACACTGGAAGCATGTATTAACTGATATTCTTGGGTATATTGTTCTCTACATGTGAACATACAATATTTTTATGAAGTACCATATTCCCACAATATTTGGAAATATATATTCAAAATAACTGCATGATGCAGTACATAATTAGTCTTGATGTATTGCAGAGAGCGTTGGAAAGCATAGTAAATATGTTTTGAAATCAAAATTTCTATCAGCCATGAATCTACATTAGATAATATTCAGTACGAAGATGATTCCACCATGTCATCATTTATAAGGAAACTAAATACTTACAAACCGGTACTTATGGTATGCATCAGTCTTCCACATTAGATTTCTATCAATTTTAAGGCATATGTTTCAATTCTCATCCTCATTTTATCTGTTTTTTAATAATATGGTATTTTCCTGCAGTATATTTGAATATTCCATGAATGGTGACTATGCTATTATTGTCAATTATAATAATCCTAAAAGGATTTATGCCACCTCTTTTATTGTAATATAATACTAATGCTGTCACCTCTGTAAAAATGCCTATGACAGCCTCCTGAAATGTGGATATTCTCACTTGTTAAATCCCCTATTCTGAGTGCATATCATACTTGCAGTTCTGCATACAGACTTGAATTTATGCCATATTCTGTCTCCCCACTCACCTATGCATTCTAGGAGAATAGAGATTAAATCGTAGGAAATGAATTGTGGTGGGCTATGAGCATGTTGCACATCAAAGACATCCCCCATCTGCACTCAAATTCAGTCTGTCTGACCACCTCCTTTGTGTGAAGAATACTGTCAGGCCCTGGGTAATGAAGTGTGCCTGATCTTGTCTTGATTGTGAACTTTCTGTAGTTCTACAGAGTTCGTTTGAACCCTACTCTGTGTTAAACCACACAATGGAGATGGAACTTAAAAGCTGTGGAGTAGGGAAACGGGGTTTTCTTGAGAAAATAATGCTTTCCTTGGGAATAGAAATATAAATCACTGTAGTCAGGTGTGGCGGTGCCCATTTATTATTCCAGATAATTAGCGGGCAGAGATCTGTCTACTGAATTTTTGAGGCGGTTTGAGGCAAATCAGTGATATTCTGTCTCATAATAACATATAAGAATATCTGGGGACATAGATCATGGATAGAGCACATTGTCATTGAGTTCCTACCAGTGGAAAAGGCAAAAAAAAAAAAATGATGAATAAGAGTGAAATACAAAGAAAATGAATTAAGTGCATTTCAAAGGGGAAAATGTGTTTTCCAACCAGGCAGTAGCACTTAGTATAACAAATACTTTGATAAGTGAAGGAAGATTTTTATCATTGGTGCTTTCCAGAAGATTTTT